TGAATTGCAAATATTGACACTGATATTTACTGCATTCACAAAATTCAAACGGTTTTTGGGATGTTGCAGGTTTCTCGGTTCTTCATGTGTTTTGAATTATTCAACAGGATGAGCTTTCATTTTTTACAGTGATCTCTCTGTAAATTTTGTTGATCATAACTCTGATTATACAAACTTTTGCTGATATTATCAATTGTTCAAAATGTCTTTTAGTGCAAAATTCTGATGACGATTGAAGAAATCCAGCTGCAGTTTCGTAAGAATGTGTCATCTTTCCCTCCAACCGATTTTCTGGTTTCTTTGAAATCTACTGAATCTACTTGTTAGGACAACAAGAGAATTGTTCCGAATTCTAGAAGTTCTTCTTGAATACTCTTCGCGGGCAAAACAATAGCAGAATCAATACTCCTGACCACACTGGATTGAATGATTCCGTACGGTATATCTCGTCTTGTGTTTGTAAATCTCTTGCAGAACACTATTATAATCTTCATGCAGTCATTGTTCACTGTGGTTCTAGCGTTGAATCTGGTCAAAGACGAAACGGATTGGTTTAAGTTTGACGATAGTCGTGTCACTAAATGTTCTGGCCCTTGCAGTGAATTCAGTGAAGCCCTACATTTTGTTTTATGAGAGAGGGGATATTAGCAGATCAAGATCTTCAGATGATGTGGTGTTGCAGGTTTTTCCGGGTATTCCTGCAGTTGAAAAAGCAATTGTGCCACTGGAATCAAAGAAGTCGTCCCGGAGTGCCAATTAATTTTTGTTGTTGTTTTATAATTTCATGATTTTCATTTTAGGATTGATAGTTCATTATAATATTAGTTGCAATGTTCTTTTTGCACGGTGTGAAAGAAAATGTTTGGATAATCATTTTCTTACAAAATATTAAACAGTATATACTGCATTATTCAAAATACTCTATATTGCCAGTGATTTCAAACTCACACGAATTAAATTTGAAAAACGTTCGAAATTTTCCTTCAACCACTGGAAATTAGTGTCGGATAGTGCTAAGTTATTGATATGACTCCATTTTGAATAAATTTGTGTTTTTGTGTTGTCTCCCACACACAATCTGTATTTTTGAGTTCTCCAAAATATTTTCATCGCATAGTTTGAGAAGTTTCGTCTGAAAAATAGCTCACGGTGATGATAAAGTTTCTCTAATAATTAGGATAGAGTGATCTGAATGGAGTCCGTGGAGTTCGAAGAGGAAATCTAGATATTCCTTAGTTTTCTCTCCACTTTTCTGATGATATTTTTCCTCACCATCACTGTAAAACTTTTATAGGTGGCAATAACGTACTATTAGGTTTGCGTTATGTCGATGAATGTGAGGTGAAACTGTATCTTATGGATATATCGACAGCCAATGCATTAGAGTCTCAGGTGTCCCTTGGCAGGTTCTGCACCTGGTGTCAGGGACCTTAGGCCCATCAGGCGACTACACTAGATGAAGGTGTTGGAGCCATCATCCTGTCAGACCATAATGAACCCCTAGGTTTGTTTTCCTCACCTGAGGAAAGCCGAATTATTCAATATTGTTGGGGAATATCCAATGCTTTGGCTCATTCTTGTGTTGTCTCAGGAGTGAAGTGATCTCTGCTCATTTTTTGCCGGCCTTTCACTGAACAGGTACCAACTCGGTGGTAGAGTTGTAATCACCTCGTTCAGTGTCGAAAATAAACAAAACCCTTCGGGCAGCTGCTTAAAATAAAAATGCCCCAATTTCTGCTCTCTCATGGTCGCGGACCATGCAGTGAAGGGGATCCGAAATGATTCCTGATGACATTACAGGTTTCATCTAGTAACATTCTGATATTCAGACATTTCAAACTCAAAAGGCCACGTTTTCCTGTTGTATACAACCGTGAAACTGACGATTTCGAATGCAAACTCCTATGGGAAAGCATCTTCTCCTCTTCACTACTCCAAACGAGTAGAGTGAAATTGGAACGGCAGGCATATTCATAGCAGCAACTTTTTTCTGATAACCAGATCTGTCAAAGTGTGTGCTGATACTTGCCGCGGAGAGAGTTCTTCACTGCTGTTACCTCTTATGAGTAGCGTTGTTCCATCCCTATCCCAGAGAAAGTACTCTCCAGCATCCAGATGGTGCAGAAAGCTTCGTCCAAGAGCTGCACATCCTCTCCGTGATTTTTTCATTGTCCTCTCCTGAAATGAACCATTGGACATTTGTCTTTACCAATTTTCGTACCCATAGCATGTATATACCCTTCCACCATCCTCAAGGACTTGGAGATTATTTTCTCTAGGAGCATGCATTTTAAGGTCATCCATATGAAACAAATGAATGACTTCAGGCCTCCGGTGTGCCATAATTATATCTTTGATCATTTCTGAGCGCAACGGATGATGCAAATAGTGAGATGCAGAAAAGAAGAGTGATCCTTTTTGACCAAAAGTGACTCTTTTTGAACACTGGTGATGCACCAGAGTGTTGTAATGTTAGACATTTGGGCAAATACAACATGAGCTCAATCGATGTTGTATTAAATGTCTTCTGGTAATCAATCCGGGCCATAGAGAAGTTACGATTATACTATATTGAGTGCTGCGCTACACATCTATCGATGAGGAGGTTCTTCTTATATGCAGCGACTTCTCTCTTCCACCCTCTCTGCTCATATATTTGTTCGAATACTCGGTCAATTGTGGTGAGTATTATTGTGTATGATATGCTCGTTGAGAATCAATCAATTCAATCATGTTATCGGTCTGTAGTCCTCAGGAATCGTCGAATTTATTTTGAGGAGATAAGCTAGGAACTCTGGCCAGATTTCGGTAGTTTTTTTACATTAAAAAGTGTTCAGCTCATCTGGGCCTGGAGCAGCAAACTTCATGGAATCCATGAAGACTCTTGAAGCTAGGCTCTTGAAGCTTTCTGCTGGAAATTCTGCGCTAGAGCTGGTGTGCCTGAGTTGAGTGGCTGTGTGTTATAATAAATATCGTTCTAGAAGAATTTCAACTGAATCACTGTCGGCGGATCATTCAGAATGCGCGGAGGCTCTTTAAATGAACGAGAAGGTTTCTTGCGGAACTTGAGGTCTTCCGCATCGCTGGTCCGATGAATGACTTTTTATATTATTATACTTATCATATTCTGATGATTGTATGATCATTGTATTCTATCGACTGGAAGTTTTTAATCCTATTGGGTATATCAGTTCTCAGTTTTTTCACATGAGCTGTTTGAGTTATCATCATACATACAAACAAACATACATACATATATAGATACAGGTGAAGCTAATATAAAGTGTGTAAAATCTGGGGAAATAAATGAAATAAGAAAGGAAAAAAATAAGAGGAAAAATTATTCATTTAGTAAACAAGGAATAACAAAATCATTGTTTATCAAATGTAATAAACAAAACAACACAACAAAAAAATATTTTTTGAATGTTTCCTACACTAAATTAGTCAATTTTTACTAATTTTGGGGTGATAAAAACGAAAATAACAATGAAAATTTTTTATTAGCTCTGGTTTTTGAGATACACAGTACTTAATCTTAAAGAGTAGTTATACTATACGTGAAAAGTGAAAGTACATAAAACAATATTGTTATGTTTCTTTTAGAATATTTTAAGTACAAAATTAATAAAAAAAA